AAGAATACGCCTTTCTCTCTTGGCGATTTTGAGCGTAAGCCATCGAACTGGCATGACATTATGGAAACTCTTGCGGAGGATTTGAAGTTCATTAAGGAGGATGAGTTTTGTTGTGATGATAAGTGGTTGACTCTTAAGCTTGAATTCAACCAAATATACAAGTTAACGCCTGTTGATTACGAGACAATGCTCCCGGTGAATGGGGACATAAAGTGTGAGCTATTGATCAAGAGTAAGATCTCGGATTTGATCAAGAAGAGAGTGGAGAAGAAGGAGGAGTTGCTTTCTTTGTCTTCCTGGAAAAATCAAATCAGACAAGTGATATCGAAGATGGGTTTCACTCATTATATACATGATGTGTCTAGAAAAGCGAATAAGGCGAAGAAGGAGGCGATTCGGATGGAGAATTCATCGAGTAGCTGTCCAAAGCCTGCGGATAAGTCTACGGTTTCCGGTTTAGAGCGTTTCAAAGTGGTTGGATCAGACATGGACCGACTCGATCCATGTGTGATTTGCGTCGGAGAAATGTTTCTTGCAGAAGAAGCAACCTTTTTACCTTGCTCTAACGTCTTCCATAGCTCTTGTATTGAAGAATGGCTTCAAGTTGGTCACAAGTGTCCCCTTTGTAATTTCAAGTTCACTCACAAAAGTGAACAAACTTTCTTTGTAAATTCGGTGTTAGATTCATTTCATTATAAATTTTCGTTTTCAAGTGTTTTACTGCGCATCTCTAATTTGGTTAATCACTAAATCATGCAAATATGTGACGTAAATAGCGAATAATTTGCTCTGCTTGATCAAGGTCTTTTTTGTAATAAACTAAAACTAAAGGTGTTAATTTGAATTTCGTCATAACATTAAGGGGCTAACTGAAATAAAAACCTTTCATGTGTAGTGACGTGGCATTCATACGTAGATCCTGCAATGGACTCGCAACACCTGGGAAAAAAAAACCCATGTGTGTGCCTTTTGCAGTGTTGAAGGGGAAAAAAAATTCAAAAGCCTAAGTGAGAGAGAGAGAGACACTGAGAAGAAACTCCGTTAGATTCCAGAAACCCAGAAAACCCTTTCTTCTCTACTACGCGCTTGTGGCGGGTGTTGTGTACGCATGGAGACGGAGGCGGTGGGAGTTTGTAAGGATAGGGCGGCGACCGTGGAAGCGGCGACGGTGTTTCCAGGGTTCAAGTTCTCGCCGACGGACGTGGAGCTGATCTCTTATTACCTGAAGAGGAAGATGGACGGTTTGGAGAAGTCCGTCGAGGTTATACCTGATGCTGATATTTACAATCTCGAGCCCTGGGATTTGCCCGGTTTGTCTTCCCTCGATTCTTCTACTTTCGAATTTTGCTCTTGCTGATATTACACTAAACTTTCTATTTTTGGGTGACTGGAGATCTCGTAA